AAAGAAAAAATATTTTTACGCATTGATCAAATAATTGAATATCTGAAAAGCCTTAGAGAATTACCAGATGGACAATTTATGTGTACATCAACAAGAAAAATTGGTTTTCTAGGTATGATAATTAGTCTGAATTCTTTGAAGTCAATTTATAATGAAAATGTTAATAGCAATCAACCGATATTAAAGAATGTTTTAGCATATAAATTGTCCCAAGACCATCTTGAAGTTTTTTTTAGTGCTATTCGTAGTTGTGGTGGTCATAATAACAACCCAACAGCTCGCCAATTTGAAAGTGCATATAAACGTCTTTTGATTCATTGTGAAGTGACTGGTTCTCAAAATGCAAATTGCTTAGATCAAACACCAATATCAATTTTAACTGTAAGTAGTAACCAAAAGTCTCAAATTATACCATCGGGAATACAATGTTTAAATGCTAATTTACAGGGTGATATTGATATTTTTGAAAGTCAGTCTCATTTAAATGACCATGCTTATTATAAGCTTCCAGAATTTGAAACGCTATCTTTTTATGTTGTTGATGTTGTAAGCTATATTGCTGGGTTTGTAGTTTGTAAAGTTAAACAAGTTGTAAAATGTAATCCTTGCATTTGTGCCTTAACTCTGGATGAAAATACTTCTACACTTGTGACACTGAAACAGTATACCTTAAATTCAAAGACTGGCCTTATAAACGCATCAACTGATGTTATTTATTTATGCAAGTTGGCTGAAACAGAATTTAGAATATTAGAGCAAACAGGTAGTTTAAATAAAAGGAACGTAATGGAAATATTAGTGGTCAAATGTTTGCGTAATATGCACAAATCTGTTTTTAGTTGTTTGCATGATCATATGTTTGATGAAGATCCTCAAGGTAATCATATAATATCTTTAGTCAAAATTATTCTTGCTAAATATTTAAAGATACGATTGCACCACAAAGCTGAATCGATCAACGAATTGCGACATAATAAACGTATACGAAGTGTATTAACAGAACAAATTTTATTTTCAAATCAATAAGAAGTTATTTTGTATATTAATGTATTAACTGTAACGTTTTCTATTTTAAGAAATCTAAGAATGCATTAAAAGTTCATACAAATATAAATTTTAATATTATTTAAAAAAAAAATATTACATTTAGAAACAAAATAAAGTTTTAAGAAAACGTTTAATGTAAAATTTTTCATAATAAGTTTAATATTATTTAAAAAAGTTTTTAAATAATATTAAACTTATTATAAAAAAATTACATTAAACGTTTTCTTAAAACTTTATTTTGTTTCTATCGCGTTTTGTTTTGCCCAAACGTGACGTCACTCGCTAAAAGATGTTGGCTTCAAAATATTAAACTTACGGCGTGTCTATCAGTTTATATGGTCGAAGGTATCACCATACAATCTTTCAACAGATGAAATTGCCTTACTATCTCCGTCACCACAAAATTCAGTATAACGAAGTTTATACTTTTCAATAGATCGTCAAAAAACTGATTTTGCTCCAACAACCTCCATACCGGTGGATGGGCCAGTATAGTTGAGGTTACAAAAATGAGTATTTTTTAGGCTTTTATATGCATCAGGGTCTGTATTTTTTTTCTTTGTAACCAAAAAACATTGTTTGCAATGTTTGGATGCTACCTCACAATCCAAAAATTTTCCTTTAATCATTTATATATAATCAATGAGCTGGAAAGTTTTTTTTGCATTTTCAGATAAATTAAGTCGACAAGTTTTACATTCTGGACAACATTTTTACATGCCATTTACAATTGCTACTTTAATACGATTTTATCAAGTTATCAAAGCTAATTTATATAACAGCAGAAATTAAAAATTATGACAAAACCTACTGATTTGGGTGTTATTTTGAACAAAAATATTAATGATAGAGTCAAGCAGAGAACAAATTACTACAAAAAAAAGAAGAGGATTTATGGTGAAGAAAAATAAAAATGCATGTAATGTAAGTGAATGTGACTCTATTGAAAGAAATATTTTAGGCGCATCAGCTAAAAAAGTAAAAGTTGTTACACATGTACCAAGTAAAAACATTAAAAGAATTACTGGTTACAGAATTATAGACACTGAAATTTTATCTAAAGTTCTTTCATTGTTAATGTGTCCTCAATGTGAAAAGTGTGCACTGTACTTAGGTGATCATCAGGAAAAAAAGAAAGGTCTAGCAACGTTGCTATATTTAAAGTGTACTACACTATCTTGTGACTATAAACATGAATTTTATACATCAGTTGCTTGTGATAAAGGGTTTGATATTAACAATAGGACAATATATGCAATGAGAGTCTTAGGCCATGGTCATACTGGCATTGAAAAGTTTACTCAGCTCATGAATATGCCAAAACCCATGACACCCAAAAACTATTCAAAAATTACAACTAAAATAAAAAACATTGTGAAAAGTGTTGCAAACGAAACAATGTCAGATGCTGCAACTGAAATGAAAGAAAATGCAACTAGTGAGGACATTGTTGATGTTGGTGTATCATGCGATGGATCATGGCAGAAAAGAGGATATCAGTCAATGAATGGAGTTTTTACCGCAATTTTAATAGATAGTGGAAAAATAATCGATGTTGAACCTATGAATAAATCATGTAAAGCTTGCTGTATGAAAGAACAATTAAAAAAATCAAATCCTGATGCATATGCTAATTGGAAAAACAAACATATTTGCCTGTACAATTATTAAGGTACAGCTGGTGGTATGGAATCAGTTAGCGCAGTGAGAGTTTTTAAACGCTCCATCGAAAAACACAAGTTAAGATATACTCAATTTCTTGGTGATGGGGATAGTAAATCCCATCTTTCTATCAAAGATATATACCCAAATATGGAGGTAAAAAAGTTGGAGTGTGTAGGACATTACCAAAAACGAGTCGGTACTCGCTTACGCAAGTTAAAAAAAAATATTAAGGGTCTAGGTGGTCGTGGTCGACTAACCAATGCAGTTATTGATCGCTTGCAAAATTTTTTTGGTGTAGCTACCCGAAGCAATACAAATGATCTGAATAAAATGAAACAAACAGTATTAGCTAGCCTTTTCCATGTAGCTTCTTCTAAGGAAAATAACTATCATATTTACTGCCCGACTGGAGGTGATAGTTGGTGTAAGTTTAACATTGATAAAGCTAAGTCTACTTCCATATACAAACCTGGACCAGGAATTCCTGCGGATATTATTCACAAAATCAACCCAATATATGCTGATTCAAGTAAAGATTCTGAATTAGTAAAGTGTCTTCATGGCAAAACCCAGAATTGCAACGAGAGTTTTAATAATTTAATATGGGATAGATTACCAAAAAGTAATTATGTTGGTTTAGCCAGTTTAGAGTTTGGAGTGTACGGTGCTGTTGCAAATTATAACATCGGTATGAAGTCTGTCATTTTAATTTATGAAAAACTAAATATGAAACCAGGTCATTTTACTTTAGCTGGTTGCAGACTCATAATCAAAAAACGAATAAAACTATCATTATTTAAATCGAGTGAAAGTTTTAAGATGAAACGAAAGATGTTACGACGTCAACGATTATCAAAGGATGATCATCAAAAGTCAATAGAAAAGTCCAAGGAATATTATGAATCTGGTAGTTTTTGAAATATTCTTTTAAAAAGTTATTTTTTTAAAGATATTTTTATGAAATGAACAATAATTTATGATTTTATTTTTTGTTTTGTGTTTTCTGAGAATTTAATTTTTAAACACGCCGGGAAAAAAATCTTAAAAAGTATAGATGCTATCATGATGAAATTTTCAGGGATCGTTCATTTTACCAATGTTTATGATATGAGCGGAGTAGAATTTCTCATATGACTTAAGATTTTGAGTTTTTTAGTTTTTTTCTTTGTATTTTGACCTTTTTTTTAATAATCTAATTTGACTGTAGTTTTTTATCAAAAAAAATTTTTTATTCAAAAATCTGCTTCGCTCATATCACAAATTTACATATTTAGAACAGTTCTACAAAATTTCATTGACACTCCTTTACTCATAATTCTTATTTTTTTTACGGCGTAAACACAGTTTTTGTGGGTTTTTTAGCTATTTTTTTGAGTTGCCATAGCAACGAGCTACCATTTTATGTATTTTTTGGTATTTTTAATGTCAGTATAATATTTACTATATGACTAAAGAAAAAGTTACTTTATATGTGTTGTTTTGAAATTTGAGGGTAGTTGCCCCTTAATGGAAAATAGAAATAAATTAGAAACTCATTTCAAAAAGTTTTTTTCAGTATTAAAAATCATGTTTGAAGAGAATTTCTTGGCCAAATAAAAATTTAACCGTTGCTATGGAGGTTGTCAAGGGCGCTTAAAAAAGTAAGGTTGTTTTCCTCAAGTTATATACTGAATTTTAAAAAATGGTTTTCGTAATAAATTTCAAATAAAATAAAACAACAAGTTTTTTTTTTTTGAAAAATTTGATATTTCTGAGGGGTATACCACCTTAAAATATTTTTTTGGTATACTACTTATGTGGCAGATGTGCACGAGTACCGAAGACTGTCAGTACATGAGGTTCATGATGCAGCACAACTTTGTTGAAAATTTTTAAACATAAAGTAGCAAATAATTTTTTTTATTATTCAAAACTTGAAAAAATTTTTAAGAATAGCTTTAAATATTTAAACTGAAATAAACGAAACTAAACTAAATCCTCTGATTGTTTTTGCAACCGTAAAAGCCTAGAACGAGGTTCATAAACGCTACTTTAAAATAAATTAATCCGGTTTCTATTAATGTTTCTTTTAAAACTTATATTAAAAACTTACTATATATCAAACCAATTTCAAAATCTTTATAAGAGATATTTTTATGAATTTAAAAAACATAAAATATTTTTATAAACATTATTAAACACATATGTGTGTATTTTTAAAGCTGTAACCAAAATTGATCAAAAGTATGTGAAAACCGGAAAACATTGTTCACGTGACTTTTTTCGTATTTAAAAATAAATGTGCCATTATCAAACCAACCATATTGATATAAGAGTCTCTTAAAGATGTCCAACTTATCCTCTCCGAGTTTTACACTTGATTCATTAAATTCGATGAAAGTAGTTGACTTAAGACAAGAACTTGATAAGCGTGGTCTTGATAAGTCTGGCTTGAAATCAGAGCTTGTGAAGCGTTTGGAAAAAGTAAGTATTTGAAATTAAACGTTTAACGTTGTATAATTTCTCAGTTTTAAAAACAATTTTCATTATGAAAAAATTTTATACTAAGATATTTTTAGAATTTAACATTATAGTTGATTTTATGACACCAGTATTGTGCATATTGATGCATAATGGTGCGTTCAAGTCGAAAGAGTAAATTTTTATGAGTCTATACGATTAGAGATTATTTGAAAACTGCGCAAGTAAAACCACTGTTTTCTTAATTTTTAAAATTTTATGATATACTACCACTGAAATAAAATTATATGTCAAATAACTGTTAAAGCTATAAATTCGTGTTGAGTAGTATTAATGAAGTTTACGATTTTATTATTTTTTAAATTTTGTTTAACAACTAGGTATGTGTGAAAAAATTTTAAAACGTTTAAATACTAAGATATATATCTTTAGAAAAAACCTCTAATTAGTATTACAATGGTGAAAATTCTATCAAAATTGATAGAATTTTTACCATCGGATGATTCTATAAAAAGTTATGAATATTTAAGTGACAAAATTTGAGTACAAGGATTACTTAAAAAAAATTGTGACCAATTTTAGAACTTTTTACAGGCTAAACTGTTGTATTGTTATTTCTTATCTAAATACACACAAATAAAAGTTTTTTAGAGATGCAGTAAAGACATACCAAAATTTCACATAGGACAGCTGGGAGATGATTTACCTGCACCCTTCGTTTTGTAAGCATTTAAACATTAAATATAAAACTTCTTTTTTTCGGTTTAATGCATACAAAATGTAAATGCTTTTAAACCAGCATAAAAAAAAAGTCTTATAGAGAACAATAGTCTTAGAGAAAACTATAGTCTTGATTCTTAAAGAGAGCAATTAAAGTGTGGTGTATTAGGGGCATCAGTGGTATATATATTAGGAGGGGGCGCTTATGCCAATGTGTCACAAAACTACTTTTAAATTTTTTTTTGTGTTAATTAGTATTTAGGTACTTCAAAAAGTCTTAAGGGCCTTATTGCAGAATAGCATTTAATTTAAAAACTTCATGGCTCATTTCTTATCAACCATGCATATATGACCAGAACCGGCTTCCTACCATGGAACTCCAGTTCTGAAGCCAGAGCTCTAACCACACCATGACTGCGTAATTTAACTACCTATTACCCTGAATAAACCTAATATCTTGATTATGCAATCATTTATTTGCCTAATAATATTTTTAAGAGAATTGTGCAATCATTTATTTGCCAGTTATTATGCAGTTATTTATTATTCTTAAGAGAATTGTGGCTATGAAAACAGTTTTTTCTTTTTTGAAGAGTTTAGCTGCCTAATTGAACAAAGTCCAAAGATGCGTATAATCTTGTTAAAGCATTGATCTTGTATAATCTCGTTAAAGCTCTCTGTTCTGAATTGAAAATTTACAATGGTACCTAAAATAAAATGAATCTAATATATGAAAATGATAACAGAAAAATTATAGGTATAGTCATAGTTTGTGTACAATTGATGTTTTTACTTGTAAAGACGAAATCTTTCAAAAATATTTTTGTTGTTTTAGTAGCTGAAAATCCATTTTGAATATACAAATAAATAACATGTCCCTTTAAACATAGCTGATAAAATGTCAATTTTTCAGAAATAGACATTTGTTGTAGTAAACTGAAGAAATCAAAAAATGTATATAAATTTTTCCACATAGAATATAACAATAAGGCTTACATTAACATGTCAAAGATAATTATATCTAAATATTAGCGATAAAAGGTGTTTTTTATTTTATAAAATTCTTAAAGGGATCCCTAAGTGCTATAAAGATATGATCTCATATGAAAGAGCATAAAAAAAAATGTTTGATGTATATTATTTTTTTTAAATAGTAATAATGAACACACACTAACAAATTCAATTTTCAAAAGAACGCTTTTCTTTGATTTAAAAAAATGCATCTTATCCCAAGTTTATTGACTCTATTGCCTCAAAAAACTAACGTTTGTGCGTCAAATTAAACAAAGTAGACAAAATGTCATTTTTGCAAACGTATTAGTTGGTAATAAAATTTAAAAGTAAAGTCGATTTTTTTTTTAACTAACACATAATTACTTACAAGAACAAGTTTTGTAGCATTTTGTAAAAATATATTTGTATATTAAAATTTTTTTAATAATTTTTATTTATATATTTGTGTTATAAGGGCAATCCCATGGCCAAAAATGAATAGAAGTCAAATTTAACAAATGAATATTGATGTAGACACGTGAAAGTTTAAAATATTTCCTTAGTACAAAAATAAATTTATTTCAGTCATTTTTATGGTTTCGAAATGGTTTACTGTTATTCTCATTTTTATGGTTTCGTGTGGTTAACGATTATTCGCATTTTCGCTTGATAAAAAAAAAATAATTATTGTAAAATGTTTTAGTTAAATTAACATATATGTTAATTTTGCTATATTTTTTTGGTTCAAATTGATAAGGTTGAATAGACATTTTATTAGAAATTAAATTAACTTTTTTTATTTTTAATTATTGTCTTTAAAATATAAATAGCTTGTGTTAATGTAAAACAACTTTGTGACGCTGTTTTGTTGCTGTTTTATACAGTTTAATAACATAAAATGCGTTTAAAATAAAATGAAGCAAATAAATGAAATTATTTTAATAAATTAAAAAATTATCGTCAATTAATCAAAAAACATCGTCAAAAACTTTATTAAAAATTAGATACTACGTTTTTTATAATTTATTGTTTCTTGAATAAAGGACTAATAACAGTTTAAATATAATTAAGTTTTTCATTTAAATGGTTTTTAAGTTGATGTTTTTATTCAATTCCTCTATTTCAATTGTTTTCCAATAAAAAGTGAAACAAAAAAACTTGTTTTAATCGAATTATACTTCATGTTTAAAATAAGGCTTAAAAACATTAAAGTAAAAAAATTGCTGGTTTTTATTAGCATTTTTATACTGTTTGAAAAAAAAAAAACGAATAAAAAAGAATTAACTAATAATATTAATTAATAATTATTAGTAATTAATAATTATTAATTCTTTTTTATTAGTTTTTTTTTTCAAACAGTATAAAAATGCAAATAAAAGTCAGCAATTTTTTTGCTCTAATGTTTTTAAGCCTTATTTTAAACATGAAAATTTGATAAACAAAGATTTATTTTGTTAGAATGAAGAAAAAATTCGAATTAACGTCTTTTTCCTTTTCAACTTTTCGCTTTAACGACCTTTTAAAAATTTTCCATGCAGAGATTTAAAGTAATTTAAATTCAAAAATGTTTTACGTTGAAAGAAAATCTCAGCGCGAAAGAGCAAATCATCTATTTATCTATCTATTTAGAATAATAAGTTTTGTGTGACGTTCTTTATGATAAAAACATTACTTTTAAGAATTGCTAAAAAAAATGCTAAGCTAGAAAAAAAGTAATTAAACAACCAAAAAATACGAGCCCTGTAAGACTTTTATAATTTCTAAACTATTAGTAACTTTTTTTTAACAACGTCTTTCAACTGAATTCTATTATACTGTTTTTGCAAAACTAATTAAAAAACTTGATTATAACTTAACTATTTAATCATGACTTTTTTTACTTGAAAATCGAAGTAAATATTCTAAAGTTGTTGTGACGTACTAATGTGATTTTTAATGACTAACAATTGAGTTTCAATGGCAAAAAAATAAAATCAAAATGGAGCTGTTTTTCAGTGATTTCGGCAATTGCTTCTTGTTAGCATGCATTTATTATTACAATTTAGTGAAAAAGAAAAAATACTTACATATTTTTTTTTTATGCTCTTTCATATGAGATCATATGTTAGGAGCACTTAGGGATCCCTTTAAGTTTTTTAAAATACTTTTTAAAAAAATCCAGTCTTTTTGCAAAATAATATAAATTTTAAGTTTGTAATTCTAAAACTGCCCGTTATTAATTTTAAACAAACAAAACGCATGTAGCTGACTTTTTAACTTGTAATTTATTGACAAACAGTAACTTATAGATCAAAATGATTACCAATTAATTTAATGCAAACAAAAACAAAAGTACTCATATTTCTCAAAAGTTAAGAAAAATATGTTTTTTATAACACCGTAATAGAAAATAAGCTATTTAAACCAATCAAATTTTAAGAAATTGATCCCATGATCAGCAAAACTTTTGATTATAAAATACAGATTAAAATGCAAGAAATCCTTAATTTCACAGAAATACCTAGTGTGCTTGATGACTTAAAAGCAATATGCGCACAACACATTTACTTTAAATTTTGAGCATCAGTAGATAAATTATCTAAAGGACCCTTTAATTTCAAGAAGGGCCCGCAATAACTTACAGAGCTGTTTTTCGTTAAACAACAAACAACTGTGAGGATTTACATTGTAAAATAAAGAATTTTTTTATTTATGACAGTAAAAATAAAATGCTAAATCAGGGTTAGCACTCCTCAAAAACCTTAAATATCCTTAATAAAAAAAAACTCCTCCTTAAATGTCCTTGAATAACCTTTAAAAAAGTTAAAATTTGACTGATCTCTTTAATTTCTCCTTTTTTAAAAAAAAAAAATCATCTAGGAAATTTTATAAAGTGAATGGACTTGTTAATAAAGAAGCAAATATATAATTCTTCTATAGCTTGTAGTCAAATAGATAGTCAAGCCTATACTTCTATTATATATATACAGGGCCTATTCTAGAAGAAAAACTTGGGCGGCGCTACCACTCTGTCCCAGAGGAATTAAGCAGAAAATCAGCGTTCTTTTGCACAAAAAAACAAAAACAATATTTGCTGTAAAAAATGTAAAAAAAAAAAAGGTAGTGAAGTTTTTATTTGGGTGGCGCCCAAATATGGTTGACACTGGCGAAAACGGTCTAGAATAGCCCCTGATATATACTTATATATACATCAAAAATATATTAGTTTTTAATAATTTTTCTGTTTATATTTAAAATTTATTGAAAAAACTAAGATTCTGTTTTTAAATGTAATCTTTTTCTTAATTCTCCTTACTTTTTTCTTTCCAAAAATTGAAAAATATCATCTTTATCCTTACTTGTAACTTTAGCCTCATTTTTAATAGTAGGAACCCTGTAAATTAGCATCTGCTAAGGTTGTTTCTCTTTACTCCTAATTCCATTCTCTACTTCTGGAAATCTTATATTTGTTCCTGTATGGAATAGTATTGCCATAATAGGGTTAGTTCTTCTAATGATGCTCTTTCTCTTCTACTTTTTTTTACCTTCGACTTTTCAAGTCTTCTTTCAACACCAAATTTTATAAATATATATATATATACACACACACGGGCTATTCTATATGTTTTAAATGGTCTCCTTTAAGTCCGCAAACATGAAAAAAATTAACCTTTCAGTTCAAGACAACCTGCCCAAACCCCAAACCCTGTATGCAAACTCACTATGGCTATGGCTATATAAATCAGTTGATGTATGTACACTGCGACACGCCTATTCCTGTATATCCCAATTTGCCTAGCCCCTAAAAATCCTTTTTTTCAGATGTCAAGGATGCTCAACGTCGGAATAGAGGTTTGAAAAGAAAGAAAACCAAATTAAGTGATTGCGAATTGCGATATCTGGAAATAGTTCTGGTCTTAAGCTTTTAAGTTTTAAGCTTTTTAAAAACTGTAAAATTGTTTTGATTGCTAAACTCAATAGCTGTTAATCAATAAAAAAAATATTTATTAATATTTTTACAATGCGCAAATAGCATTAGCATAATTTTTGATCAGTTGATTTTTAAATTACTGGGTAAATTTTTTGGAACTTTAGTAATAACAATTTTTGTCTTACAATTTTTTTTTTTTAATTTATAATTAAATTACCTGGTGTTTAAAAAAAACAATTTTTGACTGTTATTATTATTGCAGTAGTAAATTTATTATTATTTTTTCATTAATTTTTGAAACACTAAAAACCCATCAAATCTACAAACAAACTAATTCTATTTTTTGAAAAAATACACTGACTAAGTTTTACAAATTGTATTATTCACCATTTGTTATGTTTTCTATTATAAATTATTATTATTATAATAATTGGATGAACAAGCACTGCGCTTGAGGTCACAACAGAACACAAATATATAGCAAGTTATTAGATAAAAAGAAAAGTTTTTAGATATTGGTTTACTAACTCTAACTATTTTCGCTTCAGTTGCCATTCTTAAAAACTTGTTATACTTTTTTTCTGCTTTAAATACTAATTAAGATTAAAAAGCCCACTCACTAAACATCATCAGCGATATTGTGAAGCAGTTTTGCTTCCTAAAGTATTTTTAACCTTATTAGTAGATTTTTATCTAGTTAATTTAATTTCTATAGTAATTCAATGATTTAATTATTTCATTTGTTCATACTAAGAAGAATTGTTTCAAATATGTTAAACTTTTCAAACTACGCGAAGCATAAAATAGTTATTAAAAAAATTAACTTTTTTATTTATAAAATAATTTAGCTTAAATAAAACTAAAAGTTGCGTTAGTTTTATTAGAATCTCGTTAGACTTTTTTTAACCCCAACCCTTCTTAATATAGCTCTGGAAATATGACATGAGTATATAAATAAAAATTATATTACACTCTTTGAGAGTGATCGCTCCCGCTTCCTGACCGAGCCTCTCTCTCTCTCTCTCTATATATATATATATATATATATATATATATATATATATATATATATATATATATATATATATATATATATATATATATATATATATATATATATATATATATATATATATATATATATATAAAAGTACCAAATGTCATATATAAATTATCATATATCTCATCAAAATCTTTATGTTGAACCTTGGTCCACTTGTTACAAAATGACCCTGATGTAACTAAATTATAAGAAATGACTAGTTTTCCAATAAGTATTTGACTGTCGAAAATGATTATAATAATGCTCTTACTTTTCTCAATTTTTAGTTTAGTATGTGACATGATTTCTTGAGTTTTTTTTTTTTTAAAGATAAATCTTGATGAATAATTATTTTACTTATTGTTAATTTTTCAAAATTTGTTTTGTTTATTTGTCTGTTTATTATTCATTGTAATTCTATTTATAGTCATTGCTTGATGAAAGCTCAATAACAGATACAGATGAAGGTAGCAAAGTTTAATATCTTGAAAATATTTTTTATTGTTTTAAGTTTGCTTTTAGAGCTTCTTTTTTTTTTAATAATTTTTATCTGTATTTGAATTCTTATAAAGATTTTACTATTGATTATGCTTGTTTATGTTTTTTGTTTGTTTTTACATCATCTTAAATAAGGGAAAAGTTGGTTCATGTATGAATTTATGTAAATAGCTGACATACAAATATTTGATTTTAAATGGCTTTAAAGTCTCAACAACCTTTTTTCTTTTAAATGTATTCCTTATTCTGAATAAGTGATATATTTATATATGTAACTTATTCAGATGTGGTCAAAAATGGCCTTGTATAATGAGAAAAAAAAAAGTTTAATATGAGTAATATTCAACAGAATGCGCACTTTTTAAATAATAACACATTTTCCCACAAAGTATGATTCTAAACTTAATAATAATAATAAAAATAAATAAATAATTAACAATTAAATCAAGAATAGTACAAACCTTTTTGTTGCGTTAAGGTTGGACTTTTTTTTTAAAAAAAAAAGCAACATTTTTTCTTTTTTTAAAGTCAGGAAAAAAAAGCACATTTATTTTTATTCTAATTGTTTGTTCCTCTGATTACATTTCTGGAAGAGCATTAATTTGAATGCCATTTTCTCTTTGTGTCTTAATGGCGTGTAATAATTTGAATCAATTTCAAAAAGAAGTGAAGTCATCCAATATTTGAAATTATTTGATAGTTGATATTTAATTACAACTGGAACTTCTAATATCTTGTTAGCACTGGTTCAAAGATATTGTACTATTCACTTGAATCAATCATTTAATTATATTTTATTTTTTCTTCTGAAAACGTTGATTTTGAAACAGAACTTCAACAGTTTACCATTTCAACCTATTCTCGTATATTGATAAATGATTTCATAAAGAGTTGTATGTTTAGTGCCAATAATTTAAGACATTTTTCTTAGGGTCTTTTGGTTTTCTTATGATAAGATCGCTATTTCTTGATTAAACACAGTACTATTTTTCTCCATATTTAAATTTTGTGGATATTAAATCTGATACAAAATAGAAAAGACTTCTTTTAGTTATAGCTTTTAAAATCATCTAATTTAAATGTATGCCTTATACATTAATTATATTGATTGATTTGTAGATTTAACAATTAAATACATTAAATAAATTTTATTTAGAAAGTATAGTCAAAAACTGATAATACACTGTCAAAAATCAATGAAACAATGTCATTATGCAACATTAGATTGTTAAAATACATTGAGCATTGTCAAATTAGGCCGGAAACCCTGTAACATATGTTAGCCTGTAGCTATGATGTAATTCTTGTCACCACACTTTAATGATTAAAAAGTTTTGCTTATCAAAGTCTTGTTGTTTTTGTCTTATTTTTCTTTAGCTTTTCCATTTTAGTTATTTGTTAAACACTTTCTCGTTTACTCTGATTATGTAATAAACAAAAATTTTATAGTATTAAATGTATGTTTGGCTTATAAATATTAGTTTTTTTTTATTTATTTATTCTAGATAAAATGGAAGGAGAAAATGTTCATGTGAGTCATGTTGTTTTTTACCAAAAAACTATAAGGAAAAAAAAAATTATTTATTATTTGTCCATAATATAAATTTTGTATTATATTTACTTTATTTTAGGATGGAATTTCAGAATTAAAAGGTAATCTTTTGTAGAAATGCTTATTCAAAAAAAAAAAAAAAAAAAAATTTTAAGGTCATAGAAACAAGAGAATTTGTTTTATTTTTAGTTCCAGAAATAAAGTAAAATTTTTATATAAAAAATAAACAGAATTTTTTTTACAAGTGTTAAATATTTTATGTTTAAAACCAATATTTTTTACCCTTGTCCTTCCTGTCATGACATGTCAGTGTAAGTGATGTTACAACTGGTTGTAGAAAATGTTTGGAACAAAGATTTTGCTACTTTTTAATGTTGCATTTTTTTTTAAACATATTTTTGAGTCAAATAATTGCGTTTTTTAAAGAATTAAACAAGAGATGTTTTTGTTGAGGTAAACTTACTGCAAATAGATATATTTTATATTGTTTAATTTTTCTCGATCATCTAAAAGGTTACAACAAAATTGTTTAAGAAAGCGTGTTTTTTTATACATTGCAGTTATTTCAAGATCGGTATTTATTAATTACAAGTAATATGGTGATTGTTTGAGCGATGCTGAAATATGTTGGCTTGGACTTTATGTATTTAAAATAATAATTGGCTAATATATGTAGGTTCATCATTCTATGTACCAGTAATTATGGTAATCAATCACTCTTGAAATTTTTATTGAAGGATTCTTGTGGTAAATGATCATAAAGACAATATTTGTATCTGTACGTCAAAGAATTTGCTACAAATAGTGACAAATGTTTTGAACACTCACTTCACATATCATGACAGGGTTCCTCTTTTTTTTTCAATATATTAAAATGTATGTTAAATATATGTATATATTTTGTGCATGTTTTTCAAAAGATGTTCATATGGAATCAGCAGATAACAATGATTTGATGAAAAGCGAAAGTGATGAACATATTTCTGAATCTTCTGTTCTTGATACTAATAAATTTCCAAAAGAAGAAATTGTTGAAGAAAAAAATCAAGAAAATGAAGTGGCAAAGAATAAGTTAATAAATACGGATAACATAATTAAGGATGCAAAAAACGTTTTTTATGAAGGTGAAGGCAATAAGTTGTTAAAGAGAGTAGAAATCAAAACAGAAGCTACAGAAATGGTCAATGGGTCACATAAAGTAATTGATCTTGAAAATGATGCTGCTTCAAACAAAGTAATGGGTAAAGAATCTTTGAAGGAGATTGCTCATGATGAAATAAAGTCAAGTGATTATAATAATACTGAAAAGGATCCCGCTAATCATGAAAATGATCTTTTAGAAAACAAGATTGAAAAAACTTCAAATATTCTCTCTCCTGTTAACAATGATCAAATCTCAAAAGAAAATTCAGGGCAGGGCTCTAAACCAATTAGTAACACTGCTAGTACACCTAGTAAAGAATCTTCTGAAATTTCTGAATCAAGCGAGAATAAAAAGGACTCGCTTATAAAAAGGTTTGTGAATTCTTTTATACAAGCATTACCTAGTAAGTCTAACTAGTTTCGATTGTCATGGTGAATGTTTTTAGATTTTTTAAAACTGAGAAACTTTATTTTAAATTTCGATTAACATTACTAGCAGTAAATGTTATTGGTAATTTTGCCACAGTAAAATTTAAACGAAAACATAAACCATGTATTGGTAATCTTTTATTATTTTAAACTTTTAAGGATTGGCATTGCAGTCAGTTTAAAAAAGTTCATAATTTTAATTGAACAAAAACTTCAAAAGATAAACTTTTATTAAAGCAAAGAAACAAACAAAAACAAGGTTTTAGTTATCTTATTTCTGAAAAAGCTCCTTTTTTTGCTCCTAGATAAGAAACAATAAGAAAGTTAAAAGTTTCATCGGCAAGCAGCTTGGTTGCTAAAAAACATCGTTGTTACACAATTTTAATAAGTTAATTTGTTAAGTTGAAACCATTTAATTTCTGATCGTGAATTATTTACAAATTAAAAATTTACAATTTTTTTTTTTTTTTCTTTTTCCAAAGCTTGGAATAACTTGCTCTATGTTATGCTTACTCTGTAAAATAAATATGAAGTTTTGAACAATAAAAAGAATTTTAATAAAGAAATGTGTTATGCTTAATTATATTATCAAAGAAACTAATGAAATAAGAATAATATTTTTTTGTATTAAAAATGTCTGTTTATGTGAGGCATAAAGTCTTTGAAGATAATGTTGGTTAAGTAAGGCATAGGTGTGTTGTGGAAGGTGAAGTCTAGGGTTTGTAAACAATGTTCAAGTGTGGCATAGATCTACAAGCTTGAAATTTAATTTGATATAAATATAAATGATTTCTTCTAACGTTTTTATGATTGGGGTGTTGAATTCTAGTTTTTGATTTTTTGAGAAGTAAATTTTCAACTATTTTTCTAATGCAATAAATCATGAAGCTTGAGTGAGTGATTTTGATTTTAGGATAAAACACTCATCAAAATAAATATTTTTACTGGTTTAATAGTTTTGACTAGTTTTTAACAAGTAAATTTTTCTTTCTTTTTTTTTCTTTTAGTTGTTTTTTCAATATTACTAGATATCCTTCAAAAAAAATTTTGTTTTAAACATACAGTTTTATGTAAGTATGTTTGGTATGTATTTAGTTTATATACAATGTATTTACATAAAAATTGCTAACAGCACTAAATGCATTTGTAGTTTGTCATCAGGCATTACTTGATGTCATTTGTTTTTATATTGATTAAAAAAGAGATTTTATTTGGACTTTTTTTATATCAATCACTTATTTGTGGTGGTATGACTGATTCTAATTACTTTTTGTGATAATAAAAATAAAAAGAATTGGCGTAAACTAATTTTCTTTTTTAAATATAATCTTCTTGACTTTGTAAGTCAAAAATCTCAATATCTTATTTATTAATCCTAATCCAACATAAATTGTTTTCCTCTGTACCTATCTACAAATGCAATTGTTTTTTTTATTTAATCCTAGATGATTTGGCAAGAAAGTTTTCAGATTTAAATTGTGTAGAGTTAGTGGAGCCCTACTGTGTATAGTAGATGTAGTCCTATTCATAGCTGATGCACTATCTTGATTAAAAAAGATTTTTTTTTTTTTTTTTTTTTTGACTCTGAACTTAGCTTATATCTTTTATGCTAAGTTGGTCTAAAATGTTTCTGTAGTATTCTGAATTGTTTTACTTTTCTGAAGATAGTCGATCATTTGAAGTCACAAATAATCCTAAGTATTAGGTCATGAACTTCTTAAAGCAACTTGTAAAGTTTTTCAGCTCAAAATATGTGTAATACATATGAAACATTCGTTTATGTAGAAACATCCTAAAATTTCATAAAGCTGATGTAAAATTGATAAAATAATAGTGAAACTGACCAACTGAGTCAAACACTGGTATCAATACATCTATATAATACACATTTTTATATCCAGCAATTAAGTCTTGAGGCTTCCCCAGAAACCTATGAAAGAAACCTTCGAATTAAAATTTAATATCAAAAAAAGAATTTTTCTAAAATTTATAAAATCACTCACCCAAATATACATGTCATAGACACAACTTAATAATAATAAACAATGAACGTTTTACTATAATCAGAAGTGCAATTAAACAAAGTTTTTAAATTTAGCATAATATATGACATGTTTAGGATGAATTCTTTAGAATATTAAAATTAGATGAGTTCTCTTGAAATAAGATTTGGCTAAGAAATTTGGCTAAAGCTAATTTTAAATTTAATAAAAAATAATAATTTGATTATAATTTGGATATATTTTTAGTGATAATGGTTTGAAACAAAATGAAGATAAGAAAACAGATTTAAGTAAATGTATATGGATAAGTGGGTTGTCATCTATAACAAAAGCTATTGATCTTAAAGATATATGCTGTAAAGTTGGAAAAGTAAGTAGTTATAATATATCCATTTTAGGTATCTTTCCCCTCTATATATAACAAGGTCTCTCATATATATATATATATATATATATATATATATATATATATATATATATATATATATATATATATATATATATATATATATATATATATATATATATATATATATATATATATATATAAATGTGTGTATACATACATACATACATACATACATACATATATACATACATACAACCCTCAAAATTAGGGTTGACATTCGGCAATGTTGACCTAGAAGTGTTTGAGGTTGGCAAAAAATTGCAGACCTGGTGTCTATGTTTTATGGTTAAACCTTAGTTTTAGCTTTTTTGCGCCAGCTTGGTGCCAACCTCACACAGATTAAAGTTGGCAATTTTTTTCCGACCTTATTTCTCCTAACTCTGAGGACTATATATATATATTTATGTATGTATATATATTTATATATATATATATATTTTATATATATTTATATATATATATATATATATATATATATATATATATTTTATATATTTTATATATATTATATATATTTTATATATATTATATATATATTTTATATATATATATATATTTTATATATATATATATATATATATTTTATATATATATATATATTATATATATATATATTTTATATATATATATATATATTATATATATATATTTTATATATATATATATATATATATATATATTTATATATATTTTTATATATTTATATATACAAGCTTTAGCCATAAAAAAGTCATTTATATCTTGATTGTACCTGGTAGAAATCAAAATCTTAGTCAATGTATGTACTAAAGCCCCTATTGATGGCTATTTTAGTATATTTTTTTTAATTGACTTTTAATTTCTTGCTTACAGTTTTTAATTGTGAATATTTCATGTTAATGTCAATCTAGATCTAGAAATGTTATATTTTCAGATAATTTAATGCTAATGGTTTCTATTCAATATTGTTATTGGTATTATCAAATTATATATGCAAATCCGTTTAACACTCTTTGATAAATTTATTTGCATTATGATGTATAAATAATATTTCTTCATGTTAAGATAACACCTTTTTTCTCACAAATATTTCCATATCCTAAAAACAATGTATACAGGGGATGCATGTGGTGTTAGTAACTTAGTAAAGTGCTAACTTTTTTAGCAAAAAAAACTTAGAAACTTTTCATGTTTCCAATGATTTAAAAAGTCATTGTTTTTTTCTAAAATTGTGTGATTAAAGAAAACATCAACTTCTTGAGTAGCTTTTAATAAGGGAGACTTGATCAAAGTTCAATACAATTTAAACTTAATTTTTCAACTAAAGAAGATTCCATATAACTTTTTTCCTCTTTATACAATTTACAATAAAGTTTTTTTTTTTTTTTAATGCAGTGGAGTTGTGGATAATTACTTCTGATCAGATTTATTACATCCCCTGCTTATCTGCTTTCCACATGTAAAATCACAGCTATCATTAATTATGAAAAGTTTCCTAACAAAACTCGCCATTTTGAAGGTTTATCGCGGTAATATTTTGTAATTATAAAATATATATTTTAGGATTAGATATTTTAGAATTACATTATCCAGCCCGGTAATTTTTAAATGTCCATGTATTCAATATCCAGTCAAATGTTATCCGGGACCCCCTAATATTGGTTTCATAACTAAGTTTTAATAAACACCTTAAATATTTACAATTGTATATATTCACGCAAACAATTTATGCCTATTTTTTTGAAATTAGTTCTAAAATTTCATTGGAATGATGATGCAAATGTTATCATGATCAATCTTACAAACTGAATCTTTAAATCCAATTATGGTTTTTTAACTGTCAAAATAAGTACTATTTGTTGACAGAAGCATTCCTGATAGTCTCTGGATAAATCGTGGTGATGTCTGAATCTGCTATTAATAATGTCTCAATAATTTTTTGTCTGAATAAATCTTAATGATGCTTTATTTTATGTCTAAATAAATTAGATACAAAATATTTATAAATTTGTACAAAGTATTTATATGAAGGAACTGACCAAAAAACATCTTGAGAAAAAAGTTTAAAAGAAAAAAAAAAACTGCTCACAAACAAAAAGGTTTAAAGTATTGTTCTCTATAATCTCAATGAACAGAAATTTGGTAAGAATTCATAAAATAATCGATGTTTTGTGTGCTTATATTGTTAAAAGTAATCCATAAAAAATAGTATGCTTTACTACTCATTTATTAGAAAAAAAATCTTGACATTCCTCGTTCTTATAGTTTGTATCAAAAAAGCAACTAAATACATTTAATAAAAAGCCAAAATCATGTTGAAGAAAATTGTGAGTCATGTAAGCAACTCGCTTTTAAAACTTTTTAAACTATGACTTTCAATCAATAAATACCCAAAGATATGTTTAAATAGATCGGCACAAAGATTCTCATATTGTGTCAGTATGTTTGCAAAAAGTAGTTATGCTTTCTTGAATAAATATGTTAAAAGATACAATTTTTACAAGATGTAAAATGACTGGTATATTGAAATAAAAGTTTAATGACATTGACTCAATGTCATTAAACTTTTATTTCAATATATCAATTAAATAGTTTTTCGAATATATACAGATTATGCATACAAACATGCAAGCATTTTAATTACTAACACTTGCGAATATGTTAAAATCTAGTTTTGATTTGATTTTTAGGTTGTTGGAGCTAAGGTGGTGACAAGTGCGAAATCAACTGGTTCTCAATGTTTTGGCTTTGTTACTATGTCATCCAATGATGAAGCAAAAAGATGCATAGAAAGTTTGCACAAATCAACATTACATGATAATGTTATTGAAGTAGAAATGGTATAATTTTTTTCAGTGATTTTTATTTTAGTCTTCAAGTTGTTCAGCCTAATCTTCTAATTTTTAGTTGTAAGTTGTAAGGTTTAATTAACTTAGCAATGTTGTTTTTTATTTTGAAGGCCAAAACTGACCCTACTCCACAAAAAAAACCCGTCGAAAAAAAGTCTGGTGAGTTTATTTATCTAATGAGTAGTGTTGAAAATTTCCGCAAAATTTCAACCCTAACAATTTGCGGAACAAGTATCAGAACAAACTATTAATTTGTTTGTTTCTTATTTCTTCTGTTACTTGTTTCGCAAATTGTTAGGGTTGAAAATTTCCGGAAATTTTGCGGAAATTTTCAACATACTAATGAGTTACATTTATTTTAGTTTATACATAGTTATGTTTTTTTAATTAGGTATGTAGTGTGTTTTTTATTACCTGTTTTTGTTTTTTTAATTTTGATTTTTCGTCAGACTTTAAAATCTTTTTTTTTTTTCCGGAGTTTAATTTGAGTTTTTAAAGTGTTTAAAAAATACAAAAAAAAAAAACAGTTTATATTTTTATAATATAATTAGGGTATTAATAAGATATAAAACTTTTTTCCTTAATGAACAGTTTTTTGAATCAAAATTCAGATATTTATTTTTAATTCAGAAAAACAAGATGATCGCTCTCGATCTTCTAGACAATCAAAGACTTATCGCACATGTAAGTATTTTTTAAGAACATTATAGAGATTTATTTCTTATTTAATTAAAAAAAAAAGCCTTATACATTGTTATAATGTTAATAGGTGTAAAAGCATAGACGAGTACATACATACATATTGCCGTATAAAGCCAAACGCAGTAACTTGAAAAAACGTTTTAACGTTTTAAACTTTATTAGCATAGTTTAATGCAAGAATTACTTTCTTCTGGGTAAGTAATATCTGAAAAATGCCTCAGATTACATAAAACCGTGCAGATTTACTGAAAATGCTACGTTTCAAAAAAACACTCAAAAAACAATTTTTCAAGTTACTGTGTTATGGTATTTCACGGCAGCATATATTCATATACACACACACACACACACACACACACACACACACACACACACACACACACACACACACAGATATATATATATATATATATATATATATATATATATATATATATATATATATATATATATATATATATATATATATATATATATATATATATATATATATATATATATATATATGCGCATAATTTTCAGCCTCTTCATCAAGATCAACGAGACGAGATGATAGAGGTAGTCGAAGAGATGAAAGAAAGACACGTGAAACACCTAAAGAAAAAGAGATTAAAAAGCAAGAGACAACCATTGAAAGTGATGATGTCAAAAATCCCGACTTAACTACAAAAAATTCGCTGGGTGAATTTTCAGAAAAACGTGAAGAAGTCAAGGCTGTTGCTGAAGAGAATGATAAGAAGGATACAAAATCTGCAGAGCAACTTCGCAAAGAGCGAACTGAGAAATTAGAGCAGGAACATAAGTTACGTGAAGAGCGTCGTAGAAATGAGCGTGAAAAAAATAGATTACTCCGAGAAGAGAAACGTAAAGAAGAAGAAAAGCGTGAAAAAGAGCGTCGAGAACGCGCTCGAAAAGAAGCTGAAAGAGTCCGGAAAGAGCGCGAAAAACAGAGAGAGGCAGAAAAATTACGTGAAAAAGAACGTGAAAGAGAACGAGAGCGTTTTTTGCAAGAAAGAAAAGAACGAGAAGAAAGAGAGCGCCGCGAGCGTGAACGTGAAAGAGAATTATTAGAACGTGAGCGCATTGAACGTGAAAAGCTGGAACGGGAACGTAAAGAGCGAGAACGTCTTGAATTGGAGCGCATTGAAAGAGAGAGACAGGAAGAAGAAAGACTAGAAAAGGAACGTTTAGCAAGAATTGAACGAGAAAATAGAATTGAAAAAGAAAGGCAACGTTTAGAGCAAGAACGTCTTGAAAGAGAGAGACGCGAACGAGATAGAAGTAGAATTATTGATAGAGGTATTGACAGAAGTATCGGAAGTAGTAATAGTTTGAAACGCTCTGCTTACGACGACAGAACTCTTTATTATGGGGATTCAAAGAGAAGTTTAAGGGAAGATTCGCGAGATCGTCCTGTTTATAATCCTCAGCCAGATGTCAGACGTGTTGTACAGAGAGCTGATACAAGATCTTTTGATCGCGATAGATCTCCTATAAGAGTAGAAGAGCAAGTTCCATTGCGTGGCGTTGGAAGACGCGACTGGTTAGATGTTGATGTTGAAGCAAATGCTCCGAAAACACTTTCTGATGTTCTTGGAAGAGCTGGTTTAACGGGAATTTTGGGTTATCAAGCAGAAAATGAATCCTATGATATTCGGCCACACAAACAAGTTGATGAAGAGCAATATTATTTACGTAATCCTAATAGAATTGATGATCATAGTTATCGTCCTGACTTCAGAGATTCAAGAGATGGTAATAGAGTAATGCATTCTACGGAGCGTTTTCAAAAAGAACGTGTTGAACTATCGGATAACAGAATTGAAATTAAAGGTTTACAAAGATATGATGAACGTCGTATAGGTGATTCCAGAAAAGATATGGAAAGGCGTGATAATCAAAATAGTTCGGTTTTTAGGGCAAGAAATGAAGAAAGAGTCTTTCGTACTTCTGATCCGCCACAAATGTTAAATAGCGATCCAAAAGCCGCTTTTCGAAATTCGGTAGGAGATAGGAATGGCTTTCACCCAGCTTCATCAGATCTTGGAGGTAGGGGCTTATCTGTTAATCCACCTAGAATGCTTCCTATGTCCGATGTATTCGGGCGGCCATTAAATCAACAAGGATCAAACACGACTCGTGCATTACAAACAGGATATGTTACTGCCACCAATGGTCTGCCATTACACCAAGCCCCACAAAATGTTAGTTTAAGAGACAATCGTATAGAATATACACAGCGTGCAAGGCAGCCGCATTCAGTTATTCAGAGTAGAAGATTTTAATGTTATAGTATTGGATGATTCAGATAGCGAGATTCATTAAAATTGAGGGTATAAAACTATTATCAAGTATTTCTGGATTATTAATGCCACATAAAAAATGTATATAGGTTTTTAACCAGTTACCAATTTTACTAAACTATAAAGCTCCGGTAATCTCCAGTAGCATCGGTATTCTGTGATATATCTCGTATAAGTGTGTTCAAGTTGCATGTAGTATTCGTGAAACGTTACCATAAAAGATGGACATTTCTTTTGCTTTCTACTGCTGATTTATGAAGCGATATGAGAGAATATGTAATACCAATTGCCTATGAGACATGTATTTATTTTCTTTGTTATGTAATATATAAACCAAATTTTAATTTAATACAATAACGCTTTGAACGTGCTAAAATATTTTTTGCGAGAATATATTAACAATTATGAATACTATATTTGAAACCGGAAGGTTTTGTAAATTTCCGGAAAACAAAAATTCTTTCAAAAGTATATTGATAACAAGGAATTAGTTTTTTTCATACCAAAACATTTAAAATCGTTATGGAAAAAAACGTTTCGCAAATTAAATTTTAAAAAACTTTTTTTGCTACTTTCGAAATAAGCACTTTGAGTAATAGCTCTTGTGAAAAGTACGCTTTCACAGTGTTATAAAATAGGTTCTAACCTTAACTTTCTGACCCGGGAAAACCCTTTGGCGGAATGATAGCCCTTACTATGGGGATCACTTAGATATAAGTATCAAAATCAGATTACAACGTCCTGGCAAGTTATTTACATTTGAATTTTCATCCTAGTTAACACAAAACGTGTTTTAAACGTTTAATATACGTATTGATACGTATTAAAACGTATTATAAACGTGTTAAACACGTCTTGCGTTTAATAAAATACTTTATTGATTGCACAAATATGCAATATGAGCGCTTATTTTCCTTTTTGTAGTAATAAAAATCTCCAATTTACATAAATATAAACAAGGAAAGCAAAATAATATATTCTTGAAGTTATACAAGTAACAAACATAAAATATATTGATTGCACAAACATGCGGAATGACAGCTTATTTTGCATTTCTACATACCAAAACTATGATTAGTTTGTAAAAACTGCTTTAATTGATATGAAACGTATTTAATTATGACATAAATTATTTTGGAATAAATTTCTACTTTTGAATTCTGGGTAAAAGCACGTTGTTTTTACTTTACTAATGAGAGCTAAACTGAGCACATCTAATTTTACCGAAAATGCCAAATACTGCTAAAAACCACCAAGAATGCAGGAAATCTGTTTGTTTTCTTTGTTTTAGTAAAAGTCAACGAAAGCTAACATCAAATCTAAAAGAAAGATGTCAGATTATACTGAAAGAGAAAATCAACTTTAATGATGACAAAGTTCCACTTGGAATATGTGAAAAATGTCGCTCTTGTTTAAGAAGGAAGGAAAGTGGAGAAGACATCACACTCCCATCATTGTATAAGTTTGAGACTATAAAACTTCGACCAGAAACTCGAGACTCTCACTGTAACTGCTTGATCTGTTCAATTGGTAAACTGAGACACAATGGTCAAATGAAAATTGAATTCGCACAAAGTTCAGCAACTAGAACGCCTTCTTTAACAGTAGAAAAAAGATGCTCAGACTGTTTTTCAATTATTGGTCGAGGATTGCCTCACAACTGCACAAAAGGCACTTTGAGAAATAATCTTGTTGCTGTAGTAACAAAGGATCCTTTGGCATCAGAAAGAATTGCAGCTCTTGTTGTTTCAAATAAAGCTCCTTCTCCACATGGAACTGTTCGATTAAGTCAACTTTATGGTGGAAGAATGCTTCCAGTAACACCAAGTATAAATTTTATATAGTTTTTTATAGTTCAAATTAATGATAAGTTAAATTTTTAACTTTTTGTATTCACTATAGGTTCGTCATCAGCTAGACAACTTTTCTCTTCAAATTCATCAATAAGTGTAAAAGACCTTGCTAAAGTTCAAGCAAACACAGGGCTTTCAAACAATGGCATTAAGAGGTTAGCAGCTACTATTAATCAGTCAACCTCACAACAGATTGTTGAAAAAAATTACGCCATAAAATTTGACAAATTCAGCAAGCAACTTGTACATCATTTCACAAGTTCATTAATTCAAGATCACGCTGGATGTGTGAGGACAGTCATACATTGCAAGAACTTCCATGAGCTTAAAAATGAAATTATAGCCATGAGAAGTACATCAAAAAATCACATTGTAAAGGTTGGAATTGACGGAGGAGGTGGGTTTCTGAAAGTTACCCTGGGAATTATTGAATTAAATCATGAACCTTGCATTCCCCCAGCAAAAATCAACTGCACAAGCAAGGTTTTTAAGGACACTGGTGTAAAACAACAACTAGTCATTGCTGTCTGTGAGGAGCTTCAAGAAAGTTCTACTAACGTTTTGCAAGTATTTGAGTTGATTAAATTGAAAGACCAGGAGTTTGTCATGTCCTGTGATCTAAAACTTGCTAATATAATTTGTGGGCTTCAAGCACACTCAAGTGCACATCCCTGCACCTGGTGTGAATCTGGTTCAAAAGAACTTGTAAATCAAGGGAAATTGAGGACTTTTGAATCTCTGGAAAAAAATGTCTCACTCTTCAAGTCAGCTGGTTCCAATATTAGAAAAGCTCGTGACTATAAAAATGTTGTTCATTCTCCAATATTTAAACTACCTGGAGACACTTTGGTTTTGAATTTTCTTCCTCCCATGGAATTGCATCTCTTAATTGGAGTTTTTAATCATCTTTTTGCTGCGCTGCTTCAAGTTTTTCCTCGAGTAACTCTTTGATCTGATGCATTACACATTAAACAACAACCTTACCATGGTGGACATTTTGCAGGAAATGAGTCCAGAAAGCTGCTACACAATATTGATATTCTTTAATCAATTGCTGAGAAACACTCATGCTATGCAGCCATCCCATTCATTGATGCTTTTCGAAAATTCAATGCGGTAGTATCTGGCTGTTTTGGGTGCAACCTTAATCCAAACTACCCACAAATAATTGAAGCATTCAGAGTGTCTTATCTGGCATTGCAAAATGTGTCTGTAACACCCAAGGTCCATGCAGTATTTTTTCATGTAAAAGATTTCATCGACAGATATGGCCAGGCTCTTGGGCTTTACTCAGAACAGGCAACAGAAGCAATGCATCACAACTTTCAGATACATTGGCAAAGGTACAAAAGACCCAATCATCATCCAGAATACAGTAAGAAGTTGCAATGTTGCATTGTTGACTTCAATACTAAACATTGTTTGTGAAAAGTCATTTTAAGAAGGGATTTGAGAATAAGTTGTTTTTGAATTTGTTCCATTTAAAAGAAACTTTTTTTCTGAATATATTTTATGTTTGTTACTTGTATAACTTCAAGAATATATTATTTTGCTTTCCTTGTTTATATTTATGTAAATTGGAGATTTTTATTACTACAAAAAGGAAAATAAGCGCTCATATTGCATATTTGTGCAATCAATAAAGTATTTTATTAAACGCAAGACGTGTTTAACACGTTTATAATACGTTTTAATACGTATCAATACGTATATTAAACGTTTAAAACACGTTTTGTGTTAACTAGGATGAAAATTCAAATGTAAATAACTTGCCAGGACGTTGTAATCTGATTTTGATACTTATATCTAAGTGATCCCCATAGTAAGGGCTATCATTCCGCCAAAGGGTTTTCCCGGGTCAGAAAGTTAAGGTTAGAACCTATTTTATAACACTGTGCTTTCGTTAAACAACGTTTTAAAGTCGCTTAATGTTGTAAATTTGTTCACTCAATCGATAGAATTGTAAAAGTTGGTATATAAATGTTTAATTGTAAAAATAAATATTTATATATCAAAATATTTGTAATAAAATGTTATCTTCAGAATCACAAAATATTACCGTTTTAAAATTTACTTTTTGAAACAATGATAAGAATTATTGCCGAATGAAATTCTTTCGAAAACTCGCGGAATAGTCATTTTCGAAAGAAAAAAAGTTTATGAAGTACGTAATAATAAGTGTATTTAACTACGAATTGTGGTTAGAGCGCTTGCTTTATAAGCAGGAGATCCAGGTTCGAAATAAGCCTCGAACATATTTTCGCGTCACGGTAAGGGAGCGTGAACTTCCCAGTTAAATGCACTTCCGCGGTAATGTGACAAGACCGTTTGGTCTTCTTGGAGCAAATGAATAACAAAAAAAAAATGAATAATGAATTTTTTTTTATTTTGTAAATATTTAAGTGCTCCCATATGACCTAACAGTCTTATCATAGAACACCTCAGGAAAGCATTTAACTAGAAGTTCATGTCTTTCGTGATACCGGAATGTCGCTTGTTGGGCTAGAGCTGGCGTCGAACTTAACTTAAAATGTTAGACTAACTACGTAACTATAATGCTATTTATTAATATTCATAAGTTTCAATTAAAAATTAGTTTATGTGTTTGAACATCGTTATTCTTAATATGTACTTCTAAAATATCATAAAAAAAATTAAATTTAATTAAATTTCCATTTTTGGAAAAACTAAATTTGTAATAAATAGTAAAACCTAAATTCATAAACTTATCCGACGTTTTTTGTCTTCAGAAACTTAATTATTTTTTTGAATATTATCCTTAGAAATTGGCAACTAACATCCATAAAAAACGTACGCGTTAAAACCACTAATTTAGGAGTCTCCCCATCCTTGTATGGATTTAACAGCCCCCATTCCTTCTGCGTAGTATTTAATAAAAAATCAACCCCCTTTCTCCAATGTATAAATTTTTCAAAACATTAAAATCAAAGAAAATTTAGTTAATTCGACATATCTCTGTTAAAATATCATTATTACTAATATTTTATTTTTTTCTTTGAACGTAAAAAATAAAAAAGCTTATGCGTATAAAATCACGTCAGCAATATTTAAAAAAATAAATGAATTTTATGTAAAATGGAAGTCATTGATTTGTACGCGCCTACAAATAGTGTTCACATATTAGAAATAAAAGTAACCAATAAATATTTATATCTTTTATTTTTTTTACGTCGTTATTATACTAGTGGGTGAAATAATGATTTTAATTTGAGGCGCGGCTGTCAGGGTTGCGAGTCCAAATCCTTCTCATAGAGGATATTTTTTTATTTTTAATGATATATATATATATATATATATGTATATATATATATATATATATATATATATATATATATAATATATATATATATATATACATATATATATATATATATATATATATATATATATATATATATATATATATATATATATATATATATATATATATATATATATATATATATATATATATATATATATATATATATATATATATATATAAGGCGTTTTAACTATCTTTGTTGTTTTTTTACAATTATGTTTATTATATATTTTTATTTTTAAGTTTTATAGATTAAAATCATCGATTGATGTATTTACGGTTGAGTGCAACATACATCGACTCTGACTTAAATAGGGATAAGTGAAGGGGAGCGTACATAGGCAAAATCTCGAAATCTTTTGAAAAATCACAGTACTTGTTAGGTATCTTCATTGACCTATCAAATGTTTTCGACACAGTGGATCATTATATTTTACTTTAAAAACTTAGATATTATGGAACTAATGGTACTATTTTAAAATGGTTTAGAAGCTACTTAACTAAAAGAAAACATTTTGTAATTAGTAACGACGATTATCAAAACAATTGTCTTGATATCCTATGCGGTGTTCTTCAAAGTTCAATGCTTGGATCCCTACTTTTCTTGATAAATATTAATGATTTCAATAAAACTTCTAACCTAATAAGTATTATGTAAGCAGACGATTCCTCTCAAGCAATATTATATCTAAACTCTTTACCACTATGAGTAAAGAATTAAAACATATATCAGGTTTAAATGTAATGTCAGTAAGCTAACTTTAAATAATAATAATAAAACCAAATGGGCTCTTTTCCATTCGTATTCAAAATAGCTATTTAAATCAACAAGCTTGCCGCAACTCTATATCAACAATATTGAAATAAAAAATGGCTCCGTTACAAAATTCTTCGTGTTTATCTTGATGAAAACATCTCCTGGAATCAGCACATTAATCACATTAATTACATATCTACTAAAATTTTAAAAAACATTGGGATTTTATATAAAGCTCGTAACTATCTTAATAAAAATTGTTTAAGCCAACTTTATTACACTTGCAGAATTTCGATCTACCAACTTCCTTTTACCTTTTTAAGCTCTAAAAAAAAAATTTTTTTTTCACTTAATGAAATACTCAGATACTTCTAATATTTTGTAAAATTGTTCACTTGGATTTTAGTGCTTTTTTCATTTTAATTTTTACTTCATTTTTTAATATGTTATAGGGAAAAAATGCCGAAATTGGAACACTTGTATTTATTTTTGAAAAAAAATGAATTATGGCTATATTTTGCATTTTTTTTAGTAAAACGCATTATTTTCTACGTTTTGACACATTTTGAAAGTTATTCCTCAAAAAATGCGTTTGTACCATCGATTTAAAGTTTTGCTGCGTCATTTTTTTTCAGCGATCTATTTTTGTGTTCACACTGCATTGATTGCCCTGGGTAAACTATGGTGCTATAGGTTATACCTTTTTTTGTGTTTAATTTGATGGGATTTAATTTGCAAAATAACAATATAAACTTATTTTATAAGTTGCTGCTAGCATGTTGTTGTAGTGATATAACCAAATAGTCGAAAGTTTCCTTCATTGGAACATTGAAGTTTTCCTTACCTAATCAGTAATAAAATAAAAGGGTTGTAAAAATAGTTCGAGTACAATTAAAAAAGTACTTAGTAACAACTATAAACCTTTAAAGTAATACTTTATTTAGTGATTTTTAATCAATAAATTAAGAGAACGTCATAACAGTTGAAAATTTATACAATTTTTCGTTTGGAGACTTTAAATTTGTCAGGGTATTACTAATCCCATAATAAGTTTTGAGTTAACTGTTTAAATTTTTTTGTGTAAAGATGAAAATCATTTTTTACAAATTTTTGTTGATTTTACTGGATTTTTTCTTTTAAAAAATTAACCTGTTCTGATGAAGGAATTAAAGTGTTCCAATTTAGGGAACCAGTTGCCTTGATTGGAACAAAATGGTAACTTTGAAAAAACAAATTTATTTCCAATAACAGTGCAATCAATTAAGTCAAATTGTGGTTAAAAGTATAGTAGAGATGTTTATTTGTATTAATTAAATCATAAATGTTTTCATAGTTATGCCATCTTTGGTTAATAAATTGTTCCAACTATGGCAACTCTTCCCTACTTGTCTTTATTTTGCTTGTTCGTACTTTATAAGGTTCTGAAGATAAGATCTTGTGATCTTCTTTCAGATCCTAAATTATGTTTCATTGTTAGCAGTTTATGTATGTACGCATTTGTAAGTGTATATATGCTTATATTTATGTATGCTTATATTTATGTATGTGTGTGTTTTTTCTTATTATAAGATTATTCAGTTGCATTTATTACCTTTTATTCCTTTTATTAAATTTTACTATACACAGTCATAACTTTATTTACTTTTAACGATTTCCTTATTTTATCTTATTTCGATAATTTTACAGTTCGAAAGCGTAAAATCAGTTGATTTTATTTTTTCTTTTCGCTTTTTGCAAAGATTAAAAAATTAAGTAATTTAAAAAATTGAGAAAAAAAACGAAAGTTATTATTAAATTTATTTCTCTAGTTGAAATTGTAAGATTTGCGTAAACCTTTAAAAAATTTCTTCCTATTTTTCGGTATTATTTATTGGGCATGTGGTCAATATCAT